TAACGTAACGAGTTGATATAACTGTATTAAAATATAATGTATGTAATTAAGGTAAACCGTGACAGTTAATAGATATTCCTACATATGTGTAAATTTATTTCAATAATGTTTCATATTTGTCGAAAACTACAAGCCAAACAATTATGTCACTCTTATATCAACAGAATTGAACATGTCATATGGCTTTGTAAAGGGAACGCTATAGAATTCTCCAGATGTCAGTAACAGAATATTGAAGAGCATTATCTTTGACGTTGAATAGCCGACCTCTTTGAATACAAAGTTTGTAACTTCATCGTACTGTTAATTTTAAAAAAGTTAAGTTGGTTCTGAGTCGCTATTTATTGTTTGTTACAACAATAAAATATTTAGTAATATTTCGTCGAAACCGAATTTATAAGTAAACCGTCGATTGTTCTTAATTATCCTTCCAACAATGGAAACCGCCAAACCATTTTCGTGATAAAACATTTTGAAACCGAATTGAAATTTATTATATAAATATCGAATTGAAATTTATTATACTGGAATAATTATTTTAAATTTTCGCAATCAGTTTTTCTGTGATCATTTGTGACAAAACAATTTTTAAAAGTTGCGTACATTTTACTGCCTTTGGTTTTGTAAAATGAAATAGTTAATGATGGTTAAATAACCTCTTACAACTACCTCATTCGAGGGTAGGTTAAGTTGTTTTTCTGTAACGTTTTTCTGTAGCCCCCCCCCCCCCTCTTAAAACGTTACGTAACACTCAAGCGATCAATTTCATCAAAAGACTTACAATGCAATCTATGTATTCCCCGTAAAATATCAATTAAGAGGTTTGCAAACTTGGAATAACAAATAAAAATATCGACCAGACTAATACAATCGGGTCAACAATGTAATGTATATGAAAAGAGTTGCCAGTTTGGGGGTTTTTATTAATATATTTTTTTAGAAACAATGCTACGTAACGTTTTGTAAGAGACACCCCCTCCCGCCCCAGTAACGCATCGTAACGTTTTACGAGACCCCCCCCCCCCCAAAATTGCGTTACGTAATACTTGAACGCTCCCTATACTATTATTAATGACTTTATTATTTTTCAAAATTCAAAGTTATAAGTCCACTTCCATAATTGTCTTTAATGAAGATATACATATATTTATTATTTTGTTTATTATTCCAACTGATAAAAGTTTTCAAAGCAAATTACTATACTTACATACATATTTTATATATGGCATACGCAAAATTTTGTTATTTATTACATAATAAGAATTGGTTTTATTTATAACTGAATAAAATAATGTGGAAATAAATCTATTGAGACCTTTAAATATAGACAAAAAAGGTTATATGTTGAAGTAGAAATATAAAATATATTCGGACATACCTACTATTAATTACGGGATTTGTTATCCGAAAATATAACATTGTTCTAACCTATGAAATCATTAGATGTAATTGCCTGAAACCATCTAAATATAATTAATCCAAAAACTAATTATATTTCGGTTGGTAATATTATGAGGTACACTTTTCCCAAATTCTACATCATAGAGGCTTTTAGAGAATATTAGTTAAAATGGTAAGCAGCAGTAAGATTACTATAAGAAATAATTTTTAATTAATAAAATAAAGGTACTTCTCATTAAGATAAAAATAATTATGCTGGAGACTTTAATAGTCATTTTCACACAAACTACAAACAAAACCTAATATAGAATTAAATACGGCTAGAATTTAATCGTCTCCTTACAACGATTTCGGCAATCAAGTCTTTAACGTGAAGTTTTTCATGAAGGAACAAATTAGTCATGGCAATAAAATTAAGCATTTCAGAATGCTACAATTTTATTGAACCTTAAGATTTTAATATGAAAAATAACAGACGTTCTTAGCTAAAATTAAACTCAAATAACTCAGTAACAGGTACTAATTAAATTAAATGAAAGGTTTATTTCTGTAAGCAATTTAAGGAAGAGATTAATTAAGCGTTAATTATTTATATGTACTGTATGTAAGGCAAGCAATAAACCTGTATTGCAGAGAACGTCTCAGGCCGTTAAGACGGTAAGTTTGACTAATTAAAGAACAAGAATATTTATTTATTTTAACAAGGAGGATAGTACGAAAAATTTACTTACATATAAAACTACTAGAAGTGAAGGTTTGAATGTAGTCATCTTGAGTCTTAACTTGCATATCACGAAATAAATAAAAAAAAGAATTGAATTCGTTAGCTTAGAAAAACAGAACACAGGTCCAAGCCTTAAAAAAACCAGGTAAATTGCTGAATCTACACCTTTTTACTTTTTCACTTTTATTAGGCACTACATAATTCAAAGTATAAAATTTCCGTATCGTTTAAATATTACTCTATAAATAATTTGTTTAATACTCCAAACAAGTTTTGACCGCACCTTTATGTTTTAATGCATTTGGTAATGAAATTCGGTTACACGGTTGGTAATGAACTCCATTTACCTTTTACCGGTTAAAAATATATTTGATAAAAAAAAAATTGCCTCAAAGGTTACAACCAAAATAGATGTTTTTGTCATATTGTTTGCTTTCCTACTTTTGTGACGATTTGACCTGAAAAAATTCTGGATCCGTTCGTAAACCTATAAAAGAGTTTTATTCGTTTGTTGAAACATTCGTAGACACAGTGCTTGTTTATTTAAGTTCATTCTAAGCTCAGTCACGTATGTGTGTTTGAAATCCTTTACGTGTTTTGCAAAATTTCGTATTCGATTACGTTACATAAGGAGGCCCTATAAAATTGTCGAGATGTATATCATTAATTTCATTTGTTTATATACCTAATACAGAAGTGATGTGAATTATTAGATTGACGAAAAAGTCGCCATAGACTGTGATGTTCTAGTATTTTGTCAAGATATTTTTTTTGCTTATTTAATTTTTTATTCCATAATAAATATAAGTCAAAACAAGGCTTGCTTCTACAAAATAATAAACAACATATAGCAAACAGTTTAAACAAAATCAAAAACTTCATTTATTTCTGAAAGATAAGTATGTTATCGACATTTTATTACCGTCCTATGCATTATTCTCATTATTGAAATGATGTCTTATTTTATTTTATAATATTTATATAAAACGTTAATTCGTTAGCGATTATCTTAAGAGCATATCCAATCATAAAATATAAACATCATTGATAAGTTATTGGGTTGAGATTAAAGAGGCTTATAATAAAATTTGTAATTTTTTACGTTATGGTTAACGTGACAGTGACATCTGTCAATTATATTCCAAAACTCGGTAATACGTTGCTATGTATTGTTATATCATGTAATTTCTTATAATATTTATAGATGGCGCTTATTTAAAGTAAAATTAAATTTTATGAAATCAGGTCCAAATAAAATTATTTCATTGATTCTTTAAATTCTTTTATAAACGCATATTTAGTTGCTACTTAACAATTTCTTCGTAGTCAAAAACTATGTATATAACTTTATGATTGATAATAATTTCAATTATCTAGTTTTCTCTGTTTTAATTCTAAGATTTTCGTTTGTCGTTGTCTTTGGTTCTTTTGGGGAGAAAATTGAAACAACAATATTTATTAAGTAATTAACTATTCATATATTTTAATAGTATCTCTTATAATTATAATTTTCTAACGCTCCGCGCTCGCAATATTTGGTTTAAGTCTACGAGAAGAATCAACAGTTAGTCAACTAAATCATTCTCAACAGTCAAACAAAGATCTAAAAGATTACATTTAATATTACAAACTAAATGTAAACTTAGAAATATGTTAGCGTGCATCAAGTAAGCGATTCAAAATATGATTCATCCCTATTACGGTAGAAACTATGCTATTTAGTGGGGAATGTTAACTTTGGTATAAAATAATAATTATAAACAACAAAACATATACAACTCAAAGACACTCGAACATTTCTTAAATCAAACATAAATTAAGAAAATACTGTTTAACTATAGTCTAAGACCGTTATTTACAAGCCAGATGTAACCGGCGAAATTATAATGTTTCTTGAAACAAAGTGCAAACGAAAAGATGGCGACACTGTTCATATCCACTTATTAATTATAAAAAATATTAAAAAAAACAAATCAATTGCACTGTGCTGATTAAGAGACGTGTAAGTGTTAAAAATTAAATATATAATGAGATTTATATAAGATCTAAACATTATATAGTTTCTATGATTTATGCACCATATAAATATAGGCTTTTATTAAGAAGGCTTCGCTTGTAGGTACCGTTATTTTAGTTTGTAATATTTTAAATTGAAAAATTTTTACACATTTACTACAGCTTTTGTTTTACAATTAAATACAATAATGTAATTATTGTAATTTAGAAATTCTCTACATTTCAGAAATGTTAATATATATTTTTCTACCCGCCATAATTTTGGGTTATAATCTACAATACGTTAACTATAATGTATAATAACGTTCAAAATTCTTGAAATATTTTTAAGACATGTAAAAAGCACAAAAAGTTACATTATCAAAATTTTACTATTAAAATTTTAAACACAAAGCTGATTTATAAACTGACGAGCATGTTGTTATTGTTATTTAGAAAACACATCTCCAATAAACTTAATCAAAACCTGAAAATATTAAAAAAAATATAGGTCTCTGATAAGAAGAAAATAATACAAAGTACCAAAGGTACCATGTAAACGCAGATTGGTATAAAAAAAATCTGATTTATCGAAAATATTGCACAATTATTTCCGAAACTCTTAAATTTAACAGGAATCATCTACATAATGAGGATTTTACGAAGTTAATCAAAAATTACACTCAAATGTTCCTGTCGTCTAGACAAATCTTCTATAGATGTCTAATCTTGCTACTAGATGGCGCTATTTTAAAGCCGCCACCTCATAATGCCATAATACAATCAGGTATAAATGTGTAGGTTCTAATTTATAAACACCAAACATTTAAAGCGCGATGAAATGAATCGGCTAATGTCACCAAAAGTACTTCTAAGCATCTCAAGCAGTTGAATCGTGATTGGATGGGTTCTGGATGATCGTGGTGGTTTGTTCTCGAAGTCTCCGCTCTTTAGCAGCAGCCGCTAGTTCCGCTTGTAGTGTCATAACCCTCTCACGCAAGCACTTTATTTCGTTTTGCCAAGTCTGTAAAGAAATTAAACGTTTACGATCAAAATTTATCGACATTATCAAGTGTTTATAGATACGAATTGTTCATGAAAATTATGGTTGTTCTAATTGCCGTCATTTATGAACATATTTCCATTTTCATAAGTAATATTAACATAATAATACCGTCGTAAGAATGTATAGATAATTATTTGTCAGAAAAAGGCAACAAGTATTTGCCACATAACAATAAAAAAACATATATTGTTAAGCTTAAATTACAACATCAGCATTTAACTGTGATTTTGAAAACTATATTCCATTCTTTATATTTTTAAGATTTAAAGTAGAATAACATGAAAACTTTATTTTTTTTATACGGACAAATACAGTGCGCCCCGCGGCGTTGACAGCGTCACCGAAAAAGTATTCGGCTTCTGAGTTCAGGTGCTTGTACCAATTTTATTTGTTCTCAAGAGGATTGCAAACCGCCCCTTTTTGTATTTTCATCCATACATTTTTTATATATATAAAGGTTTATTTTACTCACAATATTCTGTTTGAGCAGATCAAGCTTGTCATTCTTTAAGCGACAAACTTCAATTCTCAGCTGGTCGGTGTCTCTCGGCTCTCGAGCGCCGGCGTCCGCTGACGACATCGACTCCAAGCCAGTGTCGCTATCCACGTACACCGCCCCTAATGACACAATATTCATTTAATATCATGAAAAATCAAATGCAATTTATCGTTATACAGTATATGTAATTTTATAACATTGAAATATTGTCATAATTGAAAAAATAAAAAATAGCCTAGGTGATTCTTTTATAATATCTCCTAAGGATATCGTTGAATAATTATCAAATATTCAATTTATATTAAATTCATAGCGTAATTAAGTGTTGGTATGGTTGAAAAGTGCGTTGAACGAGAAACGTGAAAAAGTCCTGGTTTTTTCGTCTTTGGACTGTATTCTTATTATGTAAATGAGTAACTAGTGCTGGGTAAAACAATATTTTAACCTATGGCTAGATGAAATACAACATCAACTACAACACATGCATGTATACAGGGTGCCTACAAATACACATTCAATATAGAACTAACCTGTTGCTTTACCACAACTCAACCAGTCCTTGTCGTCTAATAGGAAATAAAATGTATTTCAGTAATGTATACATGGTTTGAAAGTTTGCCCAGATAACTTGTCGTGAGATTACAGACTAATTATGAACATGATGTATATAATGTTAAATGTTGAAAGAAATGTAAGTAAAGGCTAAAAATATACGAAGGTATGGTATTGTCTAAATGGCTCTCTACGCCTAACAAAATGGATATTTATCAATAATGATTTTGATACATCTTTATATAAATCCCTTGATATGTATAACTAAACCAACATATTGACACATTATTATACTACTACATATATTACATGTGTTCAGATGTATTTTTTTCAAAATATTTATTAAATAGCGCTTTTGTATCTACGATCTTTCTTCCTCAGAACAAGAATCTACGATCGGAAATCGAAAAAACATACTATATATAAATCCTTTTTGTAAATATTTACTTTAATCCTACCGATTTATATAACGCAATATTTCATCTAACATTCTAAAACGATCTGTTCATATGGAGACACATTATTTTCGTGGATACAAATAAGTATGCTAACCTAATGGATCAAGATCCACAGAATTCAGACTGGAGTCGTCACTGTGGTCGTGTAGTGGGGGGCGGGGCGCGGCGGCGCGTGACGTCACGTCCGGGCTGGAAGCGTCCGAGCCACCAGCTGACCGGACTGAGACAGCGCTGGCTGATGATGAAGCTATCGACGACTTGGAACGACCGCTCTGAAAAATATTTAGAAGATAATATTATTATTATGATATAATTTACATTATATGGACGTGTAAATAAGGAGTTTAGTATTAGCTGTCGACTAATAAAGTTTACTATAGCTAAGGGAATAAAAGATGCTGTTGAAATATACTAATATAATTATTTAAGATTTATATTTTTTATTTCTATACATCCCTACTAATATTATAAATGTGAAAGTAACTCTGTCTGTCTGTCTGTTACGCTTTCACGCCTAAACCACTGAAATGATTTTAATGAAATTTGGTACACAGATGGCGTTGACCTTGAGAAAGAATATAGAATAGTTTTTATCCCATTCTTTTGAAAGGTTCTCTTTGAAACGCGATATAACCGAACTCCACGCGGGCGAAGCTGCGAGCGAAAAGCTAGTGTACTATAAATTCTTTCCTTTAGAATAAATTTTCCTTTCATCATACACACAGCAACATGTCTAGAGGTAAATTTCTATTAATATATACAAGTAAATACAGTCAGGATATTTTCTTAGAGTGCTTAATAATAATAATCTCAAAGTAATATTGCCAATATTAGGTCCATCGATACATGTTTACATTCAATATTTCCTTTCTTAATCTATTAATATTTCCTTTCTTGTGTGTCCAAATACAATGGGATCGTCTATTTAACAAAAATAACAAATAAGGAACTGATTTATTTTTACGTGAATATAAAATTTTGTATAACTCACATTGGGCGTGGGCGTTTCATGTAAAATATTTTTCTTGACCAAAGAATTATTTTTACTGCTGTCCCCGGAGAGATTTGTGTCGACACTTGGAGATCTGAAATAATAAACGATTAATTGGATAAATTGCAAAATAGTATAAAATTGCGTTACAAGAATGAACATCTCAAAATTTATTTCTTGGAGAGTCCGTACATATGAAACAGATATTTAATATCAAACTATACTAACTAAAAGATGACAATGTAATAACCCTAGATTTAGTTATTAAGCTAAAAACAAATTATGTAGGTACATTATTTCATGGGTGTTAATAAATTATTATTTATATTATTATTCCTAACTATACATATCTTAAGACTTAGTTGTTTTTTCTAAATTTCATCTCCACATACCTGACTTTAGAGATAATGACTTTCTTCACGGTATCGAAGAGTTTAGAGCCCGCACCGCCCTCCTGTTTCGGCGTGCCTTCTGGTTGCGGCGACACAGCACCTATTTCGTTCCTCGGACCAAGAAACTCGATAGTCTTCTCTTTCAATTTATCAGCTAGGGATTGCAGTAACGAAGTGCGTGTGCGCTGTTCAAGTTCGGCGAATTTTTCGGCTTTATAGCAAGCGTTCTCAGCGTTTATTAGCTTTGTGAGGAGGAATTCTTTAAGCTCTCGACCCTTACGGAATATAGGCGGCTGGGGGAGAGTCGGACCGAAGAATGGAACGTCCACACGAGCTGTGACGGCCACTTTGTATCTGAAAATATTAATTGTTATAGCCTCAAAAGATTTATATTTATAAACGTTTTAGTGCTTATCAAACCTATTTTTTAGTAGCCACATATAAGTCATTTAATTAGACATTACAAATACAATGTTATATTTTGTTAACAATTTGTAAATCCCCGAGTTAATATATTTTATAACAAAGACACAGATTGTCCTCTTTAATTAATGTGCCAGTGATTTAATTATGTACAGCATTTATAAATAACAAAACAGTTTCCTGGTAGCATCTGTATTAAGAAGTAAAATATTAAATTATTTATCCTACAAACGGGTCGGTAGCCTCTAATTAAAACATCAAAGGGTTGTCATCACGGACAACCTTAAATTTGAGTCGTCATAAAAACTTTAATTACATAGTCACAATTCGTTAGCATATAAATTACAGAGACAATTTACATTCCCTTTTCCGCGCCATTTTCTCTCCGCTTCATGCAAATATTGAATAACTTGTTGTGAAGTTACAAAAACTTTATGTTAAATAACTTGACTATAAAAGTTAAGTGGATTTTAAAGTGATATTACATTTGTGATAGATGTACCCAGAAACAATTGTAAAGTTAATCTAAATCTTTCCGTAAATTTATATATCCCTTACCAATAACCATATACTAACGATTGGAACAAGTCCAATAGAAAAAGTATATTACAGATATATTACAAAAATAATTAAGTACAAAATCAATACCCTTTGCTTTCCAAACCATTTAATAACAAGGGTAACAAACAATTCATATTGATAATTAATTAATTCTTTATATTAAAATAGTGTAACTATACATACCTTGTCTCCCCATCAGCAGCCTCCACGGGCGTGACAACAATGAACGCATGTAGGAAATGCGACGCAATCATGTCTGGGGTGAACGGAGTTGCTTTTTCCTGTAAAACACATTAATTACAGGGTTGCAACAAAATATAATTCGTCATCATCGTCGTCATCAGCCTATCAGCACCCACTGCTGAGAAAAGGCCTCTTTCTCACATGGAGAAGGTTTGAGCATTAATCACCACGCTTGCTCAAGACGAGTTGGTGATTTCAAACTTATAATTGTGAAACTATAAGTCCAGGTTTCCTCACGATGTTTTCCTTCACCGTATGTCAGTGGTGTCTAAATACTCTCAGATAGTACATATGATTCCGAAAAATCACATTTGTACTTGCCAGGTTTGAGCCCGCACCCTTGGCAACGAGAGGCGGACCCTTTAACCACTAGGCCACCACTGACTATATACAATTTTATTTTATTTTTTCACAAAATATAATTATTGTTTAGTTTCTAGTAATTTAAAGACGAACGCCACAAACCTGAAAAACAATCGCCACAATATCGTTCCCGACGTGCCGTTTCCTCTGTAATTGTTGTGCGTCACCAGCTGTGTGCGGCAGCAGTGGGGCCACGTGGAACATGATCTCTCTATCATGGAACCGTTCATAGACCGCCTCCGAGCCAGTATGACCGTTCAGGATGTCCAAACCACCGCGATAACCTGACCATTCAGTATACCATATGAATATTACTATTGAAGGAAAGTACCAAAATTTAATGGACGTATTATGAATTTGAAAATGTTGAGGAAGTTTAAAAATTGTAAAATAATTTAATTTGTCATTGTTAATTCAGCTATATAAGTAACGTAAAATATATAGAGTTACCGTGAAATATTAATGTTAAGAAAGTACAGCATAAAAGTAACCAATCAAAGACACATGTTCTTGATGATTAACTTTCACATTCTAATTACCTTTGTGATCTCTCAACTGGATCTTCTGTCCAAGCATTTCTAAGAACTCGTCAAAAGCTGGTGACGTTTCATTATTACCAAACAGTTCCTCCTCGGTTGTCTGACCGTATTTCTGATAAAGTACTCCGAATTTGAATGTATTCACGAGCACGTGTTCATCGTAAGCGGCAATCAGTGATGAGGCATTGAGACACATGACTGCCATGAAATTGTCCACATTTATTTGTTCATTCAGCATTTTTGCCATTCGGAATGGTGATGGCATTTTCCCTGTATCTGCGGAACAAACAAAAAACCATTGTAGTTTGCAAACAAATAAAAACCTATTGTTAACTAAACTGTTGCGACACACGCAATTCTTTGTATATATTAATTACACTTACTTGGTATCGGAATTAGAGCGTGCATAGTCTCTGTTCTTAGCCGTAAAAGTATTCTAGTGTGATCCTGTCCAGCCATGTGTTCGTTTTTCAAGGACATAACCACCGGCCCCAGGTTCGCATCAAACCCAACCAAGTTGATGTGCTCCTAAAAATAAAACAAACGACATAGTTGGTAAATAGTTCCGCAACGTTTATAAAAGAAAGTAGTGAAAATTTTTAGCATTCATTAATGAAATTGTATCTCATTACTGTCTTGACCAATTATTTCTAGTACAATGCGTTTTAAACGACGATATTATCGTTAGATTGCACGCAAACTGATGTTAAAGCTTCTGGAACGTACTTTTCAATCATCCAATCCAAAACACTATAACTCAGACGTGGTTTCTTAATACATGGCGTAAAAGGTCGTATAAGTCACGAAGACTTCCAACATTCAAAATAATGGTACATGTATTATAGTTTTGTTATTTATTATTTTATGATGTCATTCAGTACGGAAAGGGTATACAAATAACAATACCTTTTAATTAGAGAATATCGTGTAACTTTAACGTTGTTCTTGTGAATTTCCTATACCTAGTATGATATTACTTGATATTTAATAATAACAATAAGCAATAATTAATACTATTTATCGAGGTCAAAGGATAACAGTATAGAGCAATCAACATGTTTGTGGAGGGGGCAACATATCCTTGTTTTAGTATCCTTTTAATTATATATTAATTCTAAGAACAAACACAATTAAACATTATTTTCCTGAAACAAAACAGGAAAAGTTATACGGAATTTTGAACGGCCTATCGCACCTATGAAAACAGGCGAAGGTTATACAAAATAAAGATTAAACAAAATATTTGTCATGAAATTGATATCTATATAAAAAAATATTTAATATTTATTTGTCGAAGTCAGGAAAATTACAAGTCGTACTATGACTACGCAATCAGGAGTGAATCAGATATTGTATTAGTATGAATGATCTCATCCTATCCTGGTGATGTCTTACTTATATAGCCAATAAAGAAATGCCGCCTCAATTCTAAGATGCGGCGAAAGGAAAATAACACTTATTGTGATCAGTTCATTATAAATAATTTATGAAAACAAAATAAAAAACATTTCAATTTCTATTCCACCAGCATTGAATAAGTAGCAAAGTCTATTAATATAAACTCTTCAAAAGGTAGTAAAACTTGCGTACAAGATTTTTTATGAGGGTCATGCTTAATCTTTAATGGCATGGAATTTTCTTACGTAGATTTCAAGCATTTTTTAACCGTTTCGGTTTTAGAAACAAAACCGTATAAGTTCTCATAAAATTAAAAAATACACTCTCGGTTCTGAAAAAAGCGTGTGTTTAAGCAATTTGACCATTGCACGGATCGAAACATAATTTCAATGCTACAGGTGTAACGCTTGTGTGGAGCTATTGGATTTTCTTTTGGAAAAAGGGCTCAGAGTTATTGACGTAATCAAAAAGGCTAAGCTTAAAATTTAACTCGATTTTCTATCAAATAAGTCAAGTCTTCCGTTTACTACGAAGTTTTTAAGTTAAACAAAACTATAAATGTTAGAATTTTCCAAGAGAGATCTTAAATATCAAAATACACATGTTCATAATAAACAAAACGATGCCCTTATACAATTTTTGGTGCTACATTAATAATTTCAAGTTTGCTTGGGTCTATATAAGTGTATTGACTGTTATAGTGTGTCATAGTTGTTGAAGATTAGATTTTATTCAATTAAATAATTGTAGAATTAATTGTCAGAGAGCAACCAGTATCCACTCTTGATGAAGTGTGCTATTTTACTATTATATATGTATACTGCTGCTATTTATTATTGATATATATATACACTTGTGCAACCTTTTATCCTCGTTTAAAGGATAAAGGTTAAAAATCTTGATAGAACACTATATTTGTAGGTTTCATTCAATATAAATTACTTAGTTTGTTATGCCAACCCACACAATAAATTTGAACTTTGGTAGGTACACAATGTCATATTTAGGCGTGGTATTTTTTTACAATTAGGTAAGTGTTTTGGTTCTTTTTTCTTCGAATTAATAGTTATATTAGTAACAAACTAATGTTTATGTTATTTTTTTGTATATTAGTTAAATATCTAGAAGAAGTATATGAACGTGGTATAATTTTGCCAAAAAACTGATTCTGGTGTCATTCTATAAATATTATCTTTTTATATTACATTCAACATTTACATAAAAGAAAATTCAATATCTCTGAGATTGATTTATAATAGAAATATATAACTTCTTTAATACGTAATCCTTTAACGGAACGTAATCACAAAGAACGAAGATACTTAAACATTTTAAATCTTTTTTTAGTTAAAGAAATGAAATGAGTTTATATGAATTAGAATGACATCGAGGTTGTTGAAGATAATATCATCATTTCTCACGCCTTATCACACCTTAGACAAATTTATGTAATTGCAACCTGAGAAAATCTAATCTTTGTTGAATGCAAGAAATTATCAAAATGATCCATAAATATTAAAGTTATGAAATATGCAAAAGGAAGATCAATAAATTTAAAATCTCCATTTCTTTTTATGTAGGCCAAAAATAATCAGATTCTGAAATTTTATTCAGAAAATTTTCAGAATATTAAGTCTATAAATCATGATTTTTACATGAAACATTTAAGATATAACTTTTTGATGACTTTATATGTCTTATATTTGAAATGGTTACTCGTTAATATATCTTAATTATGGCACTAATTAAAAAGAACAAGGTTTATTGCTATAAATTGCAATTGTTTTCGGTTCTTTGGTGTTTTCAGGGTCAAACCGATAGTTCCTAGACAATAAAATACCATGGGACTAGTTGTTAATTAGTTTCGTACATTGTTAGTACAACCTTGATAATGAAGGCAACATTAAACAAGTATAAAATGGTAACGATGTTTATCGATTAGTAAAGGGATATCAAAGTGTCATTTATATGTAAAGTAAGAATGTTATTTTTTTATATATGATTATAATAGGATATTGTACGTCATTCAAATTGCAACTCAATAATGTATCCTGCGTCAATTTCTAGATAAGTAAATACTAGACGTGATCAGATTGAGCAATGTCTGTAGAAGTGGATATATATTCCCTGCCAGGAACTCATTAGCCAATTTATGGAATAAATAAAACCATCCTGCAGTAAACATCAAATGTTCCAAGTAAATACTTGAAGGAGAAACTTTAAAACACTGAAGAACTTCGGAACTATACCGTACCAGAACTTGTTAGGTTATAATACACGTTTTCAATTCAAAGTTAGGACGCTTTATTTCTTCATTTGTTCAACCCACCATTATTCATTTTTATGGGCTTTCTGGATTATTTTACTATTTTGAAACACCCGAAATGATTACTTTACTGCTAGAAAGTGCACACAAAGTTCCATTTAATATCCGTTCAAAGAATTATCGCCAACAAGAAGACGCAAATGTGTCCATTTTGTCCCCGCGTCATTTTGAGTTTTCAGAATTTATCACTGGTAATTTTTCATCATTTCAAAGACGCAAATTGAAAGCTAAAGACGGTAATTTAAGGGGCGAGGGGTTAATGTCCCTTTTGAACGGTGATGGATCACGTCATTGCCGATGGAATGTTCCGGATTTTTTGATCTTCAGTGATTGGAAATAATACCATCATATAGATTAAAAACGAAAATTGTTCACAAAACGAAAAGTAGCCTGCAATTTTTCGTTTTAAAGTTTAAATTAATTAAAATAGTATTCGTTGTATATGTACTAGGAAGGTAACTACTTAAACAACATGATTTATAAGCAAACTAAAACTCATCAAAACTTAAGCAATTTTCTGCACAAACAACTTGCCTACTAATGAACATAACATAGACAACATGTTACGTTACATTTAATTTCAGTAACCGATAAATTAACAACACTCTGAAGATCTTGAGTCGAATACAATTAGAAATAATATTATAATTATGTGGCTAGTAAAGCTGCTTTCGTATCTCTACTAACACAGGTATAAAGATAAATGAATATACCAGTAAATTTTACTGTTCACCTTATTCTGACAATACTGTTATTGAATATTCATGAAAATTATGAATAAAGGGAAACTTGTTCTAAAACAAATATCTATCTACTTTTACAAACTTCATAGTTGGTAATATTAGTAAAGTTCAAAATTTAATATTTTGCTTATCAATATATTTTTAAGTTTTAAAATTTAAATTTTCTATAAAGTGTAAACATCTGTTTCCCAGAACATCTTTGGATCTGATAGACATTTTCATATCTACTTCCCGTAGATTTATTCAATCGAAGTCGTACCAAAATGGCAATCATTTCTGAGGAACCATCGCTTTCTTCGAACAAATTGTTCTCGAACCAATTTTGCGTTATGAAAAGGAGCATTTGCTTATTACTCCTCCTCGTCTTTTGTCATTTGTGAGCATCTGTCTTTCTGGTCGATTTCAATGAATTTACGGAGTATTAACTTTTAACACCGCTTTGTTTAAAATATAATTTGTTTACAAACAACAGGAAATAATAAAATAAGGTCGATTGAAATTTTTGCTTAAAAAAATTCATACCTTTAAGATACGAGGCTGCGAATCCATAAATTTATTTTAACCTTTGCATTAACAATTTAGGGATATGTAGTTTAAAATTGTCTACCGTCTATCTTCAGCAATTTATAAAACGATGAACTGAGATTTTGACCCGATTCGTAGTTACATTAATCAATTATTATTAATAGCAGAAACTTGTAACATAATTCAATTAACAGGAATAATTATTTCGTTCTCACTTCTTGTCACAGAAAACATATTCACTCATCAGTCTCCGTTCAAGAGATTAAATGTTACCTACTTGTTCTCCTAGTCCCTCACAGATGGCGAGCAGGCAATCATTTGTGAATTTTGCAACAGTCGAGAATTTTAAGTAAAATTAAAAATACATTTTATTGCTCTGTTAATGAGAGATGTGATATTTTAGTATATATCAATTTGGAACAGTACTTCGTTAAATAAAACAAGCGTTTAAAAATTAGCACAGATGTGGTCAATGCAAAAGAAGTGCAGAACCATAGTTTGTTTATATCCCTTATACCTTGGAAGTACGAGTTTTTATGTTAATATTTATGTAATACATAAGAATCGTAACCGAAACTGTTGATGCAAATCTTCAAGTAAACAAGCAATGAATAGGTACATGCCCTAATGTTGTAATCTGTTCGATCTACATAGAACTTAGTTCGTTGAGCGTAAAGCAAGACCGTTCCGCGTAGCTGAACGCAGACTTTTCCCACTACCGCAAGTAATTTCTGTAATGAGTATGAGTAGACCCTAAGGGCATGCATGGTTGATTCGAATTTTAATTTAAATCGGCATATTAATTTTAACGGCCTGCTTTTGTCTTGAATTTTAATTTTGAGCCTCACACGTTCCATCACATAATATTCCTTCCAAATTCCAATTAAACAAGCCTAAATAAGTGCATACTAGTAATAATAATAAAACATGCATATAATCAAAACCTCAAAGTATAGTTTGAAAATGGTTAATGAGTGCATAGAAATTAAAAACTTTCAGATTGAAGATATCAAAAGCAATCATTTGAATCTTGTACATCAAACCAGGTCATTAAGAAGATGTATGAAGCCACGAAAAAGAAGAAAAAGCACGCCTTGTGCGTGGGTATGGGAAAGTTCACACGTGCTTGTAACTGTTCGATGTCAACACGGCTTGTACTGTAACATTGGAAGCAACTATCAAAGAATTTAATAGTAAACATATGTATGAACACTAGACCATTTCGTTACCCATTAAACCACATTGCGTTGTGGCTTTAATTTGTCATTCAAGTCTTATTGAATTCTTCAAAGTGCATATCAATCCGGTTATCTAGATTTGAGCGGAAGGCGTAGTAAAAAACACATAATTGCAGCAAGGAATTGATTTACAACTGCATCGCATGAGGTCTCCCGGAAGGCCAATACATAAAAGGCCAACGACACTACGACACTGGCGTGACATACGCACGTCCACGCTTTATGATGTCAAGGGGAACGTGATCAAGTGGGAATGTCTGTCATTTTTATCAATATTTAAATATACATAAGCCGAAACATCCACCGACCCAGTTGGCAACAGTACTCGTTGCGCTCCGATCAGACTGTACGGCGGGGACGCGCGAAATATCAAAGCTTGCGTAATCCTCTTTATTTAAAATTGATACTCGAAGAAAATACTCGTGATATCAATTTCGTGATTTAATTTAAGTGATTTCTTTTTCAATTTTACTTTTAAATGATATTAACACAAGTAGCGTCCAATAGAGAGGCTTTTTTAAGTCTTTAACTCTTTACTTAAGTCTCTAACTCTTTACTTAGTAAGAGACTAAAATTTATCGATGTTATCAAATAACTTTATTAAACTTTTAACACCTGGACAACATATTCAATAAGTAGACTAATAATTATTAATTCCATATTAATATTCATAGAACTTAGAAAGTACAAAAAAGCGACAATTCTATTATTTCCTTAACATCATCTTAAATATTTCCTCGGTTGCCCTTTACGGAAGTTATTTGCAAAACGATCGTTTTTTTTATAAATAATCAATACATTTCAGTTACATTTATAGAACCTTTAAAGTACATACTTCATTGCATTGAGCAAAGTGAGGTCAACCAGGTTAACATTTACAATAATATAAAAATAAAGTAAGAAATTAATAATATACTACATATTTCAATATTTGTAATGAAATATTACGCCTAGTAAACATCCTTTCGTATTAAGCAAAATACATTAGAGAGTATTTGCATTAGTTATTTTGAAGATTTTGTTTCCTATGAAAAATGCCAAAGATATTTTCTCATAAACCTACCTTGCCAAGGAAGAACCGCCTGTAGTACTTGGCAGTATCATCGGTGTCAATATTATGTCTTCGAGAGGACTGGCGCGGGGTGCCGGGCTGGAGTCGAGATTCACTCTCATCGTCTGGAGAATTTTCCTCGACACCATCCACCCAATAACAGCCATTTGGAGGTTGCACTATAGTTGGTGGTGTACCTAAGAGCGATATAAAATATAAGTCATTATTGTAAGCCTACTGGTTCATATGGAAAATTATTAAGTCGAAGTAATATTAAAAATAATTGTATTCTATCCAACGTATCATGATTTTAGAATAATGTTATATTTCAAACACGATTGAAGTTCAAAAACTATCAATTACATGACCGTGACGAAACATCTAATTTCGAAAGAGGCTGCATTCTAGTCTAGACCGCTTTGTTAGAGAATATTTTTACAGGGCTTTCAATACAATAGTCCCGGGGGTTTCCATTGTTCCCGACGCTGTGTAACATGCTTCGTCCGATAGAACGTAAACTGTTGAAAACTCTAGTATGAGGTGTTTTCAAGTAATATTTCCAGTTAAATGATAGGATATTTTTAAACAAAACCTTTAAACTATAAGTTAAATGTGAGGAGTGAATTATATAAAGGATTTTAAGGAGAAACAGTTCCTTACAGAGAAAAAAATTTGCAAATGAACGTAACCGTGCTTCAAGAATCAAAATTAGCAAATGGTTCTTAGTATGAGATCTCATCGTTAACTAAAACATGTACCCTTTAAAGTTGATCTTTAAACAGCACATGTTCGTTAGTTAGTTAGGTTTTATAGTCTGCTGTTAAAGACTATCAAACTATAAAACATGAAAGGTTGATTTGAAATAAAAATATCGAAGAGAGAGTCTTATTTTATTTTAGTTGTAAAAATAAAGTAGTTCTTTGATGATAATAAATAGTAAATGTAGATGACATAATATTTTTTTGAAGATTTATTCCGGTGAAAATCCTAGATACTTTGAAAAGAAAAAATAATAAATTATATAAAGGGTTACGAAAACTTGGTACAGTGCCGTACAAATAAAGCAGTCTGGACCCAACTCAGACCTCACGATCCCTATCTCATAAATTTCATAAGAAATATACGACATTACGGATTCCAGACGAAATCTACAAACTGCTTAAAATATTATCCATTCAATGCTTTCTGATTAATTAAATATAATGTTTATATCATACAAAAATAAAACTGATATAATTTTGCACGTTATTTTCCAACTTGTATTTTGAAGTGACTACCTTTTCCCAAGATATCTTTCTCCTAATTAATTTAATGTAATATCGAATAAAATGGAGCTTCAGATTCTTGCTGGTGTTAATTTATCACAAGAACATTTCGACTCTAATTAATAAAAAGAATCTCTAAAAACATACTCATACTGAAATTCAATTAGTACTTTCTCCTTTATTCTTATAATGCGTTCGTTCTGGCAACAATTATGAAAGTTGTTGAACAATAGCTGTTTGAAACATTGAAGGAAGATATTTTGAAAGTGGAGATGATTTGAATGATTTGTAGATGTTTCATTATTCTGCGCTATAGGATAAAACCTAATCTGATTCTTACAAAACTTATGCTATATAATGACTAGCTTTTCCTAGCTGATTCGATTGCGAATATGTTATGTTCTTAAAGCATTATGTTCGATTTAACACATTTTTGATTGTTTTAGATGCAAAAGAATATTTTACACCCCCTTAACAATTCTAGATGAACAGGTAATGTAGACCTAACATTTAACTAATTTGTTGCATGTTTTATAATTTTACAGCTGGAAGACTAGATATCTTAATAGAGCAAAAATTTTCTCAAAATATTTCAAATATGTTAATCAATTCCACGCGAATATAAAAATTCTGAATAACTGCCATTTTTATATTTTATATTTCGGTTCTTTAAAACAATATAAAATATATGGTTTTTTTTTATTATTATGCAAGGAATTAATATGAATGAAAGTGGATAAAAGATTGATTACTGTTTTCATTAAATGCACTAAATTAATTAAATATAGATGGAAGGTTTGTTTGTTATTAAGGTGAAAAAAAAGAGGGTTGATGTCAGGCAGGCGGCCGGTCGTAAAACCAAATAGCCAAAACTATTCACAACATGTAAGGCAGACCCTGGCTATAGCTGGGAAATTGCCAGGTAGAAGTAGGAAGGTTTGTTATTATATGAATAAATGGTCCTACCAGGTTTGGCCAAAGTCTCTTCCAGCAGTAACCTGCTAGCCTGACAGGCCACTCGGCGTTGTGCTGCTACGGCTCCAGGTGACGATGGCGGCCCGTGAGCCAATCTGTAGTCAGTATAGTTTCTCTCTCCAACATTGGACCCAGCGTTGGCTCCAACAGACACTGGCCGACGATTGTCTGGTCGTGATACCTGGGAGTGAAAATAAGTAATAACAAGTTAAAAAAAATATTTACCCGACATTGTAACACAGGAATGGGAACTAGATATATTCTTCAAGATATGTCCGATTTTACCAAACTAAATATTCCATACCATAGCTTAATGCTATCACTAAATCAATCTAATGTTTAAGTAATGAATATCTTCTACGAAATAGTTCCTATTAATTGATTGCGAAGTCTTGAGAACATTATGGAGTGCTTCATTAATTATTAATTAGCTCAATCGACTTCCAATTGACATGGCTAACAAATGAAATGTAGATTTAGCCTTGAATATTGAAGGCAGGTAAAGTTTGAGATCCTAAAATGAACCGCCGTTTTTTCTTGGATACAATGGTTTGTTGTTAATGGAAGAAAAATTGCTTGCAAAATTGGTAACATGGGTGGGTAGGCGTGACGTTATTGACCCACTACCGTGGGACCCTATTCTTGTGGTAACTGTAACACCAAGCAAATCGTTTTGAGGTACTGCTATTTACTCTGATTTAAAGCTAGTAACGATTCTTCACACCATCAATTCGAACGCGAGAAAATCTCGAACAATCAAATGTTCCATTCAGAGAGTTACAAAAATACGACGTCCACGATAAAAATCAACCTGCAACTTTATACTATATCAATTGGAAGTAAAATAGACCGACCATAAATCTGTGGTCGGACTATAAACACCATCAAAAGTTTAATATTGGAAGCCGACGGAAGCATTAGCCGAAGCGTTGACAGCAACTCGAAACAAGTAGCGTGGAAAATGTTGAGCGTTTTCACTTTGATCAAATTAATCTTACGTCACGAACCAAATGTTTCCTTCAGTCGTGGAACCGCTGAAATGTTATATGTAAACCTATTTTTACTTAGTGCAGATATTCTATCTTATACATTAAATGTGACACTTGTATGGACGAACTTCATTTTATTTCAAGTACGTCTTAGATTGATGGCTATAATAAAAAGAAGTGGATTTCCGTGATGCACTATCCAAACTACACAAGTTTTAATTTATAAAAGTTGTGTCATACTGGATGATCGTTTATACATCAAATGGCACAGAAACAGCCGCAACGCAACCGTAGAATATATTTTTATATTAAGAATGCTTTGATGCTGGGCTGCTTTAAATATGTCTATAATTAGATTTTCTATACCAGGCGGCCCATTAAATAGGCAATAGGATACATTGAGATGTTTACAGCGACACGGATCAGTTTACTTTAATATAAAATAGCAAATTTATGTACAAATTATATTTTTTATGTGTTAAGTTTCTAAAATAGGTACTATCGATTCAAAGAAAGCATAAACACATTATTATATTGTTACCTTTACTATTACATATAATACTTAATTCACTTTTAAAATTATAATCTTTCACTTGGAGTAAATATGCGTTTTATAAGAATTAAACAAAAAAAAGTCAGAATAAATATATGTAAGCTCTTCCATATCGTTGAATCCGTTGTTATCTAGTACCGGCTTTTGAGTGGATCTTTCATAGCAAATGTCAATATACAAAGGATTTTTGTCACATGAAAATAGTGACAAACCTATAACATATGTTATTGAAATATAAATTTCTTTTCTTTCCCCTAAACTCTTAATAAAAGTACACAATTTCAAAGTTTATTATCACCGGAATATTTAACGTCAATTTCCTCTAATCAAAACTTTGCTTTGGGTTCTTAAGTTATTCGTATTCGAATTTAAAGCGTTATATTCACCATCTCAGTATTATGCATTCCATTTTTTTTTAAGAAGTAGAAAGATATCAAAGAAATCATTTTATCTAAAATTCAAAATGATGATTCCATTCCACACTTCTATGATATGTATCTACCTACTGCAATTTATTCTGTATCTATAGAATCTCATGTGGTTCAGTTCCTCAATTACAGCTCCCTGATTTTATTGACCTTAATTGTCTCTGACAATTTCATTGTAATATATGCTTTTGGAGCAAAGGTATCATATCTATTGTATCATTAGGATAAAATTTGTGAGGTGATTATAAAAATTAACATTTGTAAAATATATTTACAAATTAATCATGTATCGTAATATACAGTAATAACAAACATTTTATAAGAAATGACGTAGGAGACTTTTGAAATGAGTTCCTTTATTTTTAAATGCCATGTAAAACAATGTACAGCCAACTCCGAAGTCTATACAAAAACTCTCACACTAGCTAGGATATAATATGAAAAATGTTATGAAAATTTTTATAATAGAATTCCATTTACGTGCTGTTTGGCGTACCTATTAACTTGTAATGAAACGTCGGCCGGTACAGAAGGCAGCGACCACAGAACTCCGCTATAGATGATTTTTAAAATAAAAATAAAAATCACTAACATACGTAACTAATATTATACGCAAAATGTTTTCAAAAATAAACGAATGACGTAATTAACAATTAAGTAGCTCTAATTTCTACCTTTAAATGTAAAGAATAAAATTTAATTATTCACTACAGATCTATCAATTCTTAAATTAGTTATATAGTAATGGTAGAGTTATTGGTACTCATATCTGATTGAAAATAAACTGCATTGCTTAAGAACGTAGTCTTCTCGGCTAAGGGAAGCGACAGCTCATTACATTCTTGATATATCCTTAGATATAATCTATACATAAATAATATAATATCTTTGAATTTATAATAATAATGCAATAGTTTTTAACGTATTCTAATCATGAATAATAAACCTAACTATTTTGTGTTGAATACCTAAAAAGCGAGTTGGATTTTTCTATTCATATGCATGGGAACATTGTGAAGTGGATGCGGCAAATGCTAGGTAAAATATTATGTTCATTAAGTTAAAAAAAGTTTATATAAATAATTGCTAGAAGATAAAAAATATGTAATGTAACATTAACCATAATTTTAAAGTGTCACTTCCACCATGAATAAATTAAACAATCCCTATTTATTATTTGATAGTTCTATTATGAAGTGTTATATTAATACATATGTACAAAAGAAACTATCGCACACTATAGCAAAAAAAAAACATTAAATATTTTATATAATATTAGATAGTTAACCATTTCAAATTAACCTACTCTAACTCTAGTTTAAAAATGTTATTTAGAAAGCAAGTTGAAATTAAATACATATATGTTAATATGTAAATTTAATTAAACTCATTTGAAAGCTTATTATATAACGGTTGCAATTGTAAGCATTAAACAGAAACATTGTAACTTATTAACATTTAATCCGTAATTCTGACTTTTGATGAAATGAGCAAAGAATAAACGGGCAAAACGAACCTTGTCAGGTGAACGACCCAACTAACCAGCCGAGTTTAAACAGAAATTAAAACAGAAAATTGACTTTGAACGAATCCCTACTAATATTATAAATGCGAAAGTAACTCTGTCTGTCTGTCTGTCTGTCTGTCTGTCTGCTACGCTTTCACGCCTAAACCACTGAACTGATTTTAATGAAATTCGGTACAGAGATAGAGTTGACCTTGAGAAAGAACATAGGATAGGTTTTATCCCAGACTTTTGAAAGGTTCTCTTGGAAACGCGATATAACCGAACTCCACGCGGCGAAGCTGCGGGCGGAAAGCTAGTATACAGATATTTCTGAGTTAATTTATTTAAATGATACCCCTACGGTTATTGTATTTAGAGAACAGAATCTACTTGTATAAAAATCGTACTATGTCTTGTTACATTTCTTATATAAAATAATTCATTAAATCTGAATTTGTTAAAATTTTAATACTAAGTTGCAACTCTAGAGGGAGCTCATTGACATAATTTCAGAGGGAGTAAAAACCTCTCAAAAGTTACTATTAAAACCTCGAGAGAGGAAAAGAGTACTTGTACCCGTCCATAATTATGTTTATCGGACCGGTAAATGAGCGTTGCAATCTTTAATCAGTTCAGATTATTTTTTTATCCCAATGCTGCGTCACCTGTTTTTGTCAACCGTCATTCCTCTTTATCAAATTGGCATTTAAGGATACCATCTGAAATGGACTTGAAGCGAAAAGGTTAAGTTAAAGTAAGTAAGATAACTTAAAAATGCTGAGTGAAACGTCTGGCTTGATAAATGAGAAGCGCAATCACATAAAAAAAATGTTAAAGAAGCCATTGTTTCTCATTGGAGCACATGTAAAAATTTAATCTAAAATACTAACCGTGTAAAAAGCTGTTGGCCTCGAAAAAATACCTCAACTGCAAAAAACGTTATCTTTTAAAATTATAGTTTACTTTACTGAGTTAGTTCCAAGGAATTCCATAGAATATTTCTGGTGAAATTTAGTAAAGTTTTCCCTTATTGTGTACCACACACACTTTTTTATTCACACATGCACACACGCACACGAGCACACACCCACACACACAAACAAAGACGCGTATTTGAGAAATTTATGCTTTCATTCGTCTCTCCATTCAAAATTGTCTGAACTAGTAGATCATATGAATACATAAGACATATTAATAGGAAATAAATAATGAATTAGACGTCGTTTACATCAAAATCAGTGACCTTGTCAAAGATATTTTCGTCTCAAAAGAGAATTTTACGACAAAAATAAAAAACTCATGAATTACTGATGATATCATTAAAACACACGAGTCGCGTAATGAACCACTTCTAGATACAAACTTACAGTGAATCTGCATTTATTCAGAACGTTCATAATTTTGAACGAGCCTATTTTCTTTACAGCAAAAGCCGAGTTCACGTATTCCATTATTGTGCTGAACAAAAATGCGCCGGCGGTAATATTCCATACGCTTGCTTTTGAATAGGATTAAGCTAACAGCAACGCGCTCAAATACCATTTACCAAATAGGACTAAGCGAAACGAAGTATTTGAATCAGTAATTAGAGCCAAAAATCCATTACATCATGGCAAACATCATACTATTCTAATAAAACCTTCTGTGATTACTGTAACAAACAAAAAACAAAGATTTATGATGGTTAGTATAGTTTGAAACTAA